AAAGACACATGTCAAAGTATCTGCTTTCAATTTACAGCCCCCCCCAAAAAAACTGGAATTTGAAGAAAAAACATCACACATCCCGACTCCACTTGTAGCACGTTGGCATTCACAGTAGAACTATACATAATTGTTATAGGAAACACACAAATTTGTACCCCTCCCATCATCAGGGGGTTACACATGGATAGTGGGGGGGGGGGGGGGGGGGGGGGGGGGGGGAGGTAGGGGTCAGAGGTCACCACGGTGATACCTCGGTGTGACATTTGTTGGCTGTTTAAAGACTTGATGAACAACAGCAGGCTGTGATGAAAGTTATGTGTTTCTTCGGTTTATGTGTGCGGTACATGCTTCTGCCAGTTGTTACAACTTAAGGAGTTTCTGTTGCTGTTCTGAAGATTTGACACAATTTTGAAGTGTGTCTTGAATATTTCGAGTCGTACACTTCTCTAGCTGTTCAAACTTAACAAAGGGACCAAAGGGACAGCAGGCTTGTGGATTATACAGGTTAATTTATATAGAAATTGATATAGTTGAACCTAGATATTGCTTGAGCTAACAGATTATAACGAGTTTAGTGTGTACATGACTAATATGTTTATTTAAATACTTTATGTACCGATTATAACCTTATTGTCTCCTTCTGTACTGTTGTCATGTCTACATGACAAAAATGTGCTTCCTGGTCCCCATTATCATGTATGGATGACAAAATAATATACCCCCATCACAAGCATCGTGCACACACGACAAGAGACTTTGGTGTTACCTGTCTTTTGACTAGCTGGTTATAGCACAGGACAGTGGTGTAATCCAATTCATTATCACTGAAATTAGAACCCATTAGTTTAAAAGAAAGATTTTGATAAGTGCACATTTTTCAGCATGTGACCTATTTGTTTCCGAATTTCCCTCAAGATGTTGGGTTAGGTGGTCACAATGTAAACAACATGAATGAGAGCATTTGATACAAACAGTCATAAGTTCACCACCAGATAGAAAACTGAATGACTTCGTAAACAAAATCTATCCCCATTGGGGACCCGCACTACAAAGGTTTATTTTGAAGACAATGAATTGCATCATTCATTGTTGAACACAAGACAATTTCTCAGTTATAATAAGCTGTCTGTTTGTCATAGTGCTGCAAAGTTGAAGATGTGTATGTCTCTTAACAATGACATACAACGATAGCGATATAGGTTCACGGTTACCTGTTCATTTCACTGATAATCTGCAATTTTGTTACATGTGTGAGGATAAGCTAGTAACGATAGCCAGTAAGGGTTGTGGATCATTGGATTTTGTGTACAGTAGATCCTTATTAGGCCAGACCCTTTTTTTTACTGGTATATTTACATGAGTGAAACTTTGTAAGTCTGGAAACTTTGTAAGTCTGGAAACTTTGGTTTGTGTGTAAAGTAGGACCTCCTTATTCTTGGCACCTTGTTTTGTCTGTAATGGCTTGGATAAGGTATGTGAAATGAAACAAGAATTATTCTTTAAAAAGTCTGGTCTGCTAGTTTTTCAGCATTTGTAGGCGTATGGAAATTTAAATCTGTTGAACTTTTGTTTACCACTTGAAACTGGGCGACAATAAATTCAAGGAGAACCTGTTGGTGTTGAATTGTCCAATTTTCTGAAAGAACTAATAAGGAATCGTCACAATAGTTTTAAAAATGTTCTTCAATATAAAAATTCAGAAAATGAGGTTTTATCATCTAGATCACCACCATAGACCTATTATTTGATTAAGCCTGGCCTATAAATCAAGTTTCCGTGACTATGAAATGACATGTTGATCGCAGTGAAAATTGCTGTCATATTTTCTGATTTCATAGAAAATTATGGTTGATACTAATGGTATTGTTGTTTACAGATACTTAAAATTAACACTGTCTGGTAACCAAGCCGGTGACAAAGCAGTAATAGAGACATGTATTTCTATAACGGCTGAGGTATGTCGTTACTAACAGTGGGACACCGCAGTGCTGGTAAATACGTATTTGAAATCAGCCCCGCTTCCAGAAGTGATTATCCTGATGCATATAGAGATAGCGAGAAAGCCGATGATGATTGATAAGGCTTTAACCAGGGATGTCATTGGTAGCCATTTTATTGTAAACTTTGATTCCATCGAACGACAGTCCGGGCTCGGAGGACTTGACAAGAATCCCCCTTCTACCACCGACTCGACCACACCGCAATGAACGGCACGTCTCATTTCATCCGTGGCCGATGATCGTCATCCGGATTCAGATGCAGCGCCGTCACAGCGCGGAGTGGAAAATGATGGAGATACTTTGGAGACAGTAGATTTACACATCAGTGCCATCGTTTAATGGTTTATTTAAACACAAAGCCTCCATCTTTTCATTATAAAAAGCTCAATGTATAACACAGCATTACACAGGATTACACACAAATATTGATTTCAAATTACGACCAAGAAGGATTAAAGATAATGATTTTCATGAAATCTGATTACAGGAAATATCATATGATGTGTTTAACTTACTACGAGAGAACATAATCTCGTAAAACGTGGAAAACTCGGCCTCACACCCGGGGCGATTGTATTGACAGCGTTTGACATGGAGTATGTGATCTGGTGTATAACCCATTGTTGTAGCAGTATTAATTAGAGGTGTCATTCAGTTGACTGTCTGTGCTGGTGAATTGGTTGACGATCCACTCTTAATTAGTCCTGTCTTCTGATAGCAATGAGTACTAGGGGTTGGTTGTACTGGGGTCAATAATCTGGATACATGTATTAGGAATAAAGACGTACATTGCAATCTATCAATAATCTAATAGAACATTTATATTTTACAGTGCGTGACAGTGCAATATAATAATTGTTGATAAAGAATTCTAGAAGTAATTTAAATCTATATAATTAGCATATATATTGCAATGAGGAGATTGGTATTGTTTTATCATTTAAAACTATCAATTTACCAATTTTTTGTTGCTGAAATGTAAAGAAATTTCAATGATAAACCATGTGTTAATATGGTCTTCAATGATAAACCATGTGCTGATATGGTCTTCAATGAAAAAGAAAACTCTTATGTTGGTAGTATTTAAGAGTTGGTGACGTGTGTAAATTATAAATATTGTCACATACAGCAAAGCCCCAGTCAAGTAAACCCAGTATCAATTTAAACTTGATAAACACTATAATTTTTATTTGATTCCTGAAAGTAAACACACAATATGGCAATTCATTATGTTGTTGATAGCTGTGTAATATCACAGTACTGGTGGTGGCCTCTCCAAGCCCTAACAAAGACCACGGAAGTTTATACCCGCACCCGGGACCGAACAACGAGGGCGGATATAGATGTCGTGCCGACTGATTACGCTGCGTTCCCAATGACTGGATCCTGTCATGGCCGACCGAATCACATTCAAACTTTCACAATCCGGAAATGAGTGTCCATCTCAGCATCTAGTCTGGTACTTGATACATCAGCTGTTTCAATCTTGGTCGACAAGGCCACATGCGGAGTCTGACTGCACTGGTGGTAACCCTCATCCATAAAACTCACACAAAAACACTAATTTGTGAAAGGGCCGCTCCAATTTCCGTTAACTTTTCACCTAATAGTTTTATGTTTTGTTTCATCTGATAGTCATCACAAGCTAGGAAGTCAGTACATGGCCGCGTCAATGTGAGTTGACGGACAAGATTTTATTACCGACTTCAATTCATCAGGCGGGTCGGTGTTGAAACTGATGAATAGAACGAATTCTGAATCTTTAGGATTAGTATGGGGTTTAATAGATTTGTGATCAACCCATTTTATTGTTTGTCGATCAACACACTAATCCCCAGACTCAATAAAGACAATATCAAATGGTCGTTTGTTAATTTGGTGCACTTGGCTGACTCAAGCTACCTGAGCTGGACAATAGCACAGTGTTGGACAAAGCATCAGATTCATTTAGAAAGATTTATAATGGATGTCTTCTTCCTATTCAAACTGCGGCAATGAAAATAACCTGAATTTATGACTGTTTGTACTGCGGCTGTTAACGGTTAATGTGACAAATTAAATACGTTTTCCTTGTTAGGAGATGAAACTGTATACCTGAGCGACGGTCACGGTTGGTTTGGTTAGTGATGGCATTGTCCCTTGGCCCTCATCTCGATAGTATGTCAGATTTTGTTGCTTGTATTCGGTTTTAATCATTATTCTTGGTTTTCATGAAAATAATTTTTGCAGTGTTATGTAGGCCGAGTGGGATTTGAGATATTTTGAAGAGAAAAAATTACAAATGAAAAGATATTTATATTTATTAAAAAATAAGTTTTGTCATAATTTGTGTCAATAACTTTTTTATCGTAATACCTCAGTAAAATGCCTGTGATTTCTTTTCTGACCAATTTAGCCCAAATATATTTAATTGACTTTGTTCCTTATTATTTTGTGCAAATGTAAAAAGCTATCTTTTTCCAATGACAAACCAAAAAGATGTCAGGCCAAGGAAAGTTTATTTTTGGGTTTAAACTGACTCCAACTGTACCTCGCTAGAGTGATGTCTATCAACGTTTCCCACTAAATGGTGTTACCCATTTATACAGCTGTATGCCTATATTATTTGGCAAAAATTTAGTATGCAAATTTATTGGAATTTCAAGCTTTTGTTAGGGGTTTGTTCACTTTAAAGATATTAATGCCAACACATTTCCATTGCAAATAAGTGGTACTCTGTTAGGTAAGAAGCTTTGGTTTCTAAAATATACTTAAAATAAAAAAAACTTACTTCCATTTCAACAGACTGTGGTTTATAAAGACACTAATAAGAAATTGCACAGATACTTATTGTAACACCTGAAGAAACAAGAATGATCCTCTAGATTTTGGAATCTTTATATTTTAGGTTCATTTGTATTTGTGTTTGTGAATTCGCTGAGCTTGTTAGTAGCTTGACTGGTATTATCTAATGTATTTCATGATTTTGAAAACTTTGTTTTTTTTGTGTCTTTGCAGCTACATCATCAGTGTTGGTATCGTGGACAAACTGACACAGTATTTCCGTGGTGTCCAGGGCCCGATAGACGAAGACAAAGAGGGGGCAGAGTTTCTACAACACAGCCTCGGTCTACTCGTTTCCATGACGAAAATCATGTCCAAAAGGTCAGTTCAAAATTGACTCTTTGGTCGCATATTAAAACTTGATATATTACTTAGGCCTAGTACACACACTTATACTGTATTCCATAACGGAAAGAGAAAACATTGAAAGTAGGCCTAGTACTCACACTTATACTGGATTCCATAACGGAAAGAGAAAACATTTAAATTAGGCCTAGTACTCACACTTACACTGTATTCTATAACGGAAAGAGAAAACATTTAAATTAGGCCTAGTACTCACACTTACACTGTATTCTATAACGGAAAGAGAAAACATTTAAATTAGGCCTAGTACTCACACTTATACTTTATTCCATAACGGAAAGAGAAAACATTTAAATTAGGCCTAGTACTCACACTTACACTGTATTCCATAACGGAAAGAAAAAACATTTAAAGTAGGCCTAGTAATCACACTTACACTGTATTCCATAACGGAAAGAAAAAACATTTAAAGTAGGCCTAGTTCTCACACTTATACTGTATTCCATAACTGAAAGAGAAAGCATTTAAAGCGGGCCTAGTACTCACACTTATACTGTATTACATAACGGAAACAGAAAACATTTAAAGTAGGCCTAGTACCCACACTTATACTGTATTCCATAACTGAAAGAGAAAGCATTTAAAGCGGGCCTAGTACTCACACTTATACTGTACTCGTTTCCATGACGAAAATCATGTCCAAAAGGTCAGTTCAAAATTGACTCTTTGGTCTCATATTAAAACTTGATTTATTACTTAGGCCTAGTACTCACACTTATACTGTACTCGTTTCCATGACGAAAATCATGGCCAAAAGGTCAGTTCAAAATTGACTCTTTGGTCGCACATTAAAACTTGATATATTACTTAGGCCTAGTACACACACTTATACTGTATTCCATAACTGAAAGAGAAAGCATTTAAAGTAGGCCTAGAACTCACACTTATACTGTATTCCATACCGGAAAGAGAAAACATTTAAAGTGGGCCTAGTACTCACACTTATACTGTATTCCTTAACGGAAAGAGAAAGCATTTAAATTAGGCCTAGTACTCACACTTACACTGTATTCTATAACGGAAAGAGAAAACATTTAAAGTGGGCCTAGTACTCACACTTATACTGTACTCGTTTCCATGACGAAAATCATGTTCAAAAGGTGAGTTCAAAATTGACTCTTTGGTCGCATATCAAAACTTGATATATTACTTAGGCCTAGTACACACACTTATACTGTATCCCATAACGGAAAGAGAAAACATTGAAAGTAGGCCTAGTACTCACACTTATAATGTATTCCATAACGGAAAGAGAAAACATTTAACGTAGGCCTAGTACTCACACTTATACTGTACTCGTTTCCATGACGAAAATCATGTTCAAAAGGTGAGTTCAAAATTGACTCTTTGGTCGCATATTAAAACTTGATATATTACTTAGGCCTAGTACACACACTTATACTGTATTCCATAACTGAAAGAGAAAGCATTTAAAGTAGGCCTAGTACTCACAGTTATACTGTATTCCATAACGGAAATAGAAAACATTTAAAGTAGGCCTAGTACACACACTTATACTGTATCCCATAACGGAAAGAGAAAACATTTAAACGAGGCCTAGTACTCACACTTATACTGTATTACATAACGGAAACAGAAAACATTTAAAGTAGGCCTAGTACCCACACTTATACTGTATTCCATAACTGAAAGAGAAAGCATTTAAAGCGGGCCTAGTACTCACACTTATACTGTATTACATAACGGAAACAGAAAACATTTAAAGTAGGCCTAGTAATCACACTTACACTGTATTCCATAACGGACAGAGAAAACATTTAAAGTAGGCCTAGTAATCACACTTACACTGTATTCCATAACGGAAAGAAAAAACATTTAAAGTAGGCCTAGTAATCACACTTACACTGTATTCCATAACGGAAAGAAAAAACATTTAAAGTAGGCCTAGTTCTCACACTTATACTGTATTCCATAACTGAAAGAGAAAGCATTTAAAGCGGGCCTAGTACTCACACTTATACTTTATTCCATAACGGAAAGAGAAAACATTTAAACGAGGCCTAGTACTCACACTTATACTGTACTCGTTTCCATGACGAAAATCATGTTCAAAAGGTGAGTTCAAAATTGACTCTTTGGTCTCATATTAAAACTTGATTTATTACTTAGGCCTAGTACTCACACTTATACAGTATTCCATAACGGTAAGAGAAAACATTTAAAGTAGGCCTAGTAATCACACTTACACTGTATTCCATAACGGACAGAGAAAACATTTAAAGTAGGCCTAGTACACACACTTATACTGTATTCCATAACTGAAAGAGAAAGCATTTAAAGCGGGCCTAGTACTCACACTTATACTGTATTCCATAACTGAAAGAGAAAGCATTTAAAGTAGGCCTAGTACTCACAGTTATACTGTATTCCATAACGGAAATAGAAAACATTTAAAGTAGTCCTAGTGCTCACACTTACACTGTATTCCATAACGGAAAGAAAAAACATTTAAAGTAGGCCTAGTACTCACCCTTATACTGTATTCCATAACGGAAAGAGAAAGCATTTAAAGTTCATAGGTGGAAGGTCAAGGTGACTTACCGAATACACTAAAAGCTTATAAAAGCATGAAAATAAGATGGTTTTGGATCAGCCGTAATTCAGTTCAATTATTTCAACAAAACAGAAATGAAAAAAGTGTATAAACTTGTTATTTAAATGACTGATAACTTAAAGTTTTACCAGTTTAAAATAATTGAATGAAACAAGTTTTATTAATTATATCAATCACTCTTGTTGACCCAAATGGAAGTGCACAGGAGATTTTATCATGGGAGAAAATTTGAGAACCCAGAGAAAACCTATATGGTTGGCTAGGTGATCCAATACATTTTCACATTGAAAGGGATATTTCACTGTTTATAAGCTCACCCCTTGTTGTCAACATGTTTTACAAAAAAAAACATTACCAATTAAATCTATATTCCACATAGGATCAAATTTGACTTGTTTCTAAAGAAACAGAAAACTAGACCCCTAGGGTTTATTACTGATGAAATACGGTAAGGTGTCTGTATTTTCGTAATATAGAGATTAAATAATATGGAAATATTTTGAATCAGGCCAAACAAGTTGACCAGAGTTTTTATTTAATATGGCAGATATCATTGATAAGAACATACGGAAAAACCAGCCTATTGATTGAGGTATTAACGAGTCGTACATCTTTATGTTAATCGTGACACAATGCATTGAGAGAAAGCGATCATCCCTGCCCATTACCCCGGTGAGAATGCAGATTGTCTCCGCGATAAATTGTAACTACGCAACTCAAACAAGCTGAAATTTTGTCCATATTTTCTGGCAGTAATTCCATCAGACTCGATGTCCAGGGGCTAAAGATCCACGCTTTGGATTTATAGGAACTGTCATATCTTTGTTTGTATGCCTAGCCACCATGTTACATCTCCGCTGACAAAATATGTTTCTGGTCATGACTGCAAATACTGCTCCTAATGAATGTCATTTATTGTATTTACGATCTCGATAAGGATGAATTATCGTTTACTGTCATTACAGTAAATTTTCTAGTAAATGGTGGCTGTCATTAGCGTACGGTTAATTTATCTGATAATCCGTGTAGTCTAGATACATCACTCGATAATCAGTTTAAGTCTGGGATGTTTCCAATCATCACTGCGGGAAAAAAATATAAGTTCTGGGATGGAGTCAAATGTACTTGAGTTGACAGGATTACAAGGAAAAGTACATGTATGTACCGCAAGGTATATATAAGATTTGAGATCACTTGATGAGCTGAACTTTCAAGTGATATAAATTACATATTATAGGATTATTCAGACAAAGTTTGTAAAAAAGTTGTTGCAATTGGTCAAATTATTACTGTATACATAAATAATGGTTCTGTTAGGGTTCAGGTCTATCAAATGTATCACTTGTTAATGAAACTATGATCAAAAGCTTACAGAAGCTGCCTGGATATTTGTATGCCTGTTTATAAAAAATGCAAGGTATTTCGTTGATAATATAAAATAGAAATTTGTGCTTTAGAATATGGATAATGGACACTAAATTATAATTTTACACCCTTTTTTTTTGTCCAAACTGTTCAATCCAACAACATTATTTTATTGTAGCGGTCCCATGAGATTTATTCATTCCTCATATATAACCAACAAAAATACCGCAGATTTAGGGGGTACTGCTATTGTTGTATATCTTAGGTGTATATCATCCAACAGTATATTTATTGACTGGTGATTTTTTTTATATGCTTATTGATTTAATTTTTTTATTTTGTAGAAGTAAGTCACAGGACTAGAGTAGAGTCATTTGATGATAGGAAATGTTTCTCAATTTTATTTTGTAATTAAATCTTGTGCCTTCTACTCAACTTAAGATACAAAATGAAATATAAAGGAAAACTAGAAATAGGATTAGAGCTGCATAATATATATTTTTTACTTGGCCTTAATATATCAATACTTAAATAATGATGATGAAAACTATTAGTAAAATATTTCAGAAAATTAAAATTTTATTTTGTTTTCCAATACATTTCGGCCAAAAATTAACAGACAAAAGTCCAGAGTGCAACTCGGTTTCGACAATTTTTATGTTGTGTGCCTGGTGTGTTTTTTAACACCCCCTGGCAACTCTTCATTCATCCCATTCACATTAACCCAAATGTCGTCTCGTATTGCGTAAGGACGGGATAAAGCTTTCTTCGGAGAAGTTTTTATAAAGTATGAACAGCAATCCCCATGTTTATATTGGCCATTATCGGAGAGAGAGAAAAGGCGTAAATGAGCTCAGGGTATTTTTTATTATCATGATTCGGAGGCTGGGTTGTGGTCTTGAACACTTAGTACGGGTATGAAAAAGATTTTGATGGGCATTCATACAATATGGTCGACAATGAAAGTGGATACTTTTACAGCAGGTTTACGCATATCTTTTGTGAAGCGCATGCT